ATATTAATTCCTTCGCTTCACGTTGTACTCCGAAAACTGTGTGAGTATCAGTGCGCAGGCGGGCGCGGTGGGCGTCCGGGTCGGTGTGTTGCACCTCATAGGGCGCTATAAGGGTACCTTTCTTGGAAAAGACGCCACACAGCGCCTGCTCCAGGGTGCCGAATTATGTCGTGCTAGAATAAAAAGAAAACGAAACAGTTTGCTTAGGAAGAGTTGCGCAGGAGGGCGCTCACTTGATTGCTATCAACCAGCCGGTACCGTGGAAATCTGTAAGCTCTCGTAATCAGGACCTGACATACGCTGGAGATCCTCAGCGAGGGGGTCTTATCTGCTTCTGAAAAACAAGTTTTCGATTGCTGACTCTTCCTTAGTACTCCCCACCCTCTCTTGGAAATGGGAGAATTCAGGAAGAAGCTAGGCAGTGTAGGGAATGGGAAAGGGGGATCATGCCAGAGGGGCATCGCAGTCTGCAAAACCTTTCCTCAGCGAGTGCCCAACTCGTAATGCTACGAAAGAGGCACGGGTCATTTCCACGCCGTTGGTTCTTTATTTTATATGTGAAGGAGCGTTTACTGCAAAAAGATATAATGGATAAGAATTTGTGCCAGAACCAGTAGCAATTGTTTTGGTTAGCATGATAGGTAATCAAGACAATCCCCGCGCTCAAGCAGTCAGTAAGCGTCCTTCCTCGTACAAGTAGTCTGATCCTCAGTCCCTGAAACTATTCCACCTTCGCGGCTCACAGTTAATAACGAAAGCGCTATGGACCTCATGAGTAGCAGCTCTGACGGGTATGTGTGTAAGGATTGACCGCCGCGCTCGAAACTGAGGTCGCCGCGCCGGAAAGAGGGTAACCGCGCGCGGCGATTACAATTACGATTGCTTCAACATGTTGTGTTTGTACGTCCGAACCTGTTTACCTGTTCGGACAGTTCTTGGCAGATGGAAGATGGGGAAAAAAAGAGAAGCCCAAGCGAACTGCGATAGGGTCATGGCGATCGGAAGCTGGCAAAATGCCAGCCCAGCGGACTCACCGCCCGCGCACACGCCAGCGTCGCCGCGCGCCGTGACCTAAGTTCCGAGCGCGCGAGACATGCTGGCCCAGCTTCAATACCTCCCAAGTTGTCCCGCCCACCGAAATTCGAGGGCTATATTTTGTCACGATCAAGTCGGTATTAGCACTGGATGACGCGAAGGAACAATTAGTGAGCCAGAGATGGCAGGATATCTGGCGGGATACCCAGGGCACGCCATCGCATTGTGATCATTTGCTGAAGAATACGACCCCCCCCCCCCCTAGTTCCATCCTCAAATACGACCGCCCTTCCCCACCTTTCCTAGATTTTCCCAACTTTCTATCACTTTTTCCCGAAAAACTTCCAGTTTTTGAGCCAAGATTCTCCTTCGGGCGGGGGGGCGGGGGAAGGGAGGGAGGATATACCCAACTGTGAAACAGAGAAAAATTTCTCAGATCTCCTACAACGTTTTCCGAAATTCCCGAAAATCATTTGTTTATCCCTCATTGTCCTCCGCGCGTGGGAAGAGGTGGGGGGGGAGAGGATGCCGCCTGTACCTTGCATGTTCTTGTCACGACACTTGTTTCTGCACATCGAAATCAAAAGAAATCACTGAGAAAAATTGGAAGACGACCAACGAGTTTGCCAGTCGTTGTAATGGCTGCTCAAAGACAAGTTAATAACGAAAGCGCTATGGACCTCATGAGTAGCAGCTCTGACGGGTATGTGTGTAAGGATTGACCGCCGCGCTCGAAACTGAGGTCGCCGCGCCGGAAAGAGGGTAACCGCGCGCGGCGATTACAATTACGATTGCCTTCAACAATGTTGTGTTTGTACGTCCGAACCTGTTTACCTGTTCGGACAGTTCTTGGCAGATGGAAGATGGGGAAAAAAAGAGAAGCCCAAGCGAACTGCGATAGGGTCATGGCGATCGGAAGCTGGCAAAATGCCAGGCCAGGACTCACCGCCGCGCCACACGGCCAGGTCGCCGCGCGCGGTGACCTAGTTTCTCGCAGCAGGCAGCGGCAGACTGCTGGCCAGCTTGCGAATACCTCCCAAGTTGGTCCGCCGACACCGAAATTCGAGGGCTATATTCTTGGTCACGATCCTCAAGTCGAGTTATAGCACTGGATGACGCGAAGGAACAATTAGTGAGCCAGAGATGGCAGGATATCTGGCGGGATACCCAGGGCACGCCATCGCATTGTGATCATTTGCTGAAGAATACGACCCCCCCCCCCTAGTTCCATCCTCAAATACGACCGCCCTCCCCATCTTTCCTAGATTTTCCCAACTTTCTATCACTTTTTCCCGAAAAACTTCCAGTTTTTGAGCCAGAATTCTCCTTCGGGGTGGGGGGGGGGGAAGGGAGGGATATACCCAATGTGAAACAGGAAAATTTCTCAGATCTCCTACAAGTTTTCCGAAATTTCCCGAAAAATCTTTGGTTTTTCCCCAAAATTTTGCTGTCGGGCGTGGGAAGAGTGGGGGGGAGGTGGTGTGTCTGCACTTACCAGGAAGGTCGTTCAGGGCGTGCCCCGCTTTTTCGAAACGGTTTATTGCACTTTGTAGGGCCTTGCCCATGAACCATAAAAGTGGGCTTCGTTTTTGCTGTGCGGCTCCAGGAACGCCAAAAAAGGAGCGAAAAAGAAACCTATGGAAACTGAGTGTTTTTGAGCCTCTACGAGCTGTAAACCGCTTGAAACTTTGACCAGTTGCTGAATGGAGGGACCCTATAAAGGTACTATCGGAATCGAAGAGAAAAGTAGTCGGGGTATGGGGTCTTACTTGTGGCACGTAATCAAGCGTGAACGGCTTCATGGATGGTTTCTTCAACGATCGGAGGAATGTTCAGCAACAACGATCGGATGGCCTAGTGGATAGCGTGAAGGAATCTCAAGCGGACAGTTGGGGTGGGGTTGATGGTTCGACTCCCCTCGGCGTGCGAGTTTTTGCATTTTTATGTTTTGCTGTTTTCGCGTTCAAATATGTCTGTGCGTGAGTATGCGTTCGATAACTGCCATTTATGGGCACATTTTAAATGGGAACACTCCATGAATCAGTGCTATTCAATTATTACAGGTTTTACATACCATTAAGCAAGACCGTAATTGAAAGTTGACCTTTATAGGTCAGACCATGCCCGAATCACATATATGGAACTTATTTGTAGCTACGGTGCCATTTATCGCTAATATGGAGTGACATGTTTCTTCACATGAATGCGTTTGCTACACACAAGTAAGGGATGTGTAGCGCTACCCAGGCGCCAAGTTACGTCGGCGCCGAAAATAAGTGTGAAAATCATGATCGGGGCCATCGATTACCCCTGTAAACAATCTTTCGGCCAAAAAATTTTTTTCGACTTTTTTGGGTGTGTGCGTTGGGTTGTGCCCGACAGTCTTTCCATAGAAGTCTACAGTGCCTCGCCATAGGGACCCCCTATTTTATTAATATCCAAAGATAAAAGTAACAATGCCGATGAAATTCATGCAAAGAGGAAGGGAAGGGAGGCATTCCACCAGGTTTGCTGTCCTGCCCGGCGGCCTGCTACGTCGTCGTTCCATCATCGTCTTTACGAAGATGGGATACTCCGGTCACCACTGCCGACCAAATGGTCCACCAAAACCCAAAAAATCGAAAAAACTTTTTTGGCTAGAAGTTCGTCCATAAGGGTAGTCGATGGTCCTGATTACGATTTTGACACTTATTTTCGACGTCGACGCAATTTGGCGCCAGTATAGCGCTTTAACGTCCCCTAACATGGGGGTAGGCAATAGACGTACCTTTCGCTCCTTTTTTGGCGTTCCTGGAGCCGCACAGCAAAACGAAGCCCACTTTTATGGTTCATGGGCAAGGCCCTACAAAGTGCAATAAACCGTTTCGAAAAAGCGGGGCACGCCCTGAACGACCTCTTGGCTCCCGTTGTTAGAGAATCAATTCTTCACTATGACAATTTTCACCTCAACCCAACTGGCGATGAGAAGCTGACAGTTCTGGGACGAAGATATTTCTGAGCAGCGCAAGACAGTCAGCGACTCCAACCTCCTCCTCGTTGCGATCGCCGCTAGGTTCGAATAACGAACGCTACCCGCCTAGGCCGCGCAGTATTGAAGGATGTGCATCGTTTTCACAACGATTACTGCCCATGGAACCTTGATAGCACAAAACGAGCAGGTCCGGAAAACTCGTCCAGAGAGGCTGTCAGCTTCTCACATGGGGTGTTTTTCATGATTTATTTTTTGTTTTTACCCCTAGAGAGTCATTTAGCGACTGGTATTTAAGGTTCCACGAAATGTCCCCTACTTCTCTGGAGCCGAGCTGTAATTGGAAAACTTGTCAGACAAGGTGAACAAGAGTAAAAGAGCACCCTAAAGCGAAATCACCCGGAATCATGCAGCTGTACCCTGCATGTTCTTGTCACGACACTTGTTTCTGCAATCGAAATCAAAAGAAATCACTGAGAAAAATTGGAAGACGACCAACGAGTTTGCCAGTCGTTGGCAATGCTGCCTCAAATACAAATCAGCGCGCCATTTCGCATGGGTTCCTATGTGGAAATACCGTTTCTGCCAACGTTTTCGAACCAAAATCCTAAAAATTACTTCGCCTTTCTTTCACTGCAACTTCTTTTCTCTTGTTTGGTTTTGCACTACAGGTCTGTTTCCAAGTGCCTGCTGGATTTGCTGTTAACTCCTCTAGAGGTACTTATGCTTCTTAGTGACTTTTAGGACCTGCCGAGTAAGCGTTGATCAAAAGTTGTGTTAAGAAGCATTAGATTCTATAATAACTGAGGCTCTTTGATACCCTGTTTGCGTTTTTTTAAAGATTGTACTGTAGGTAGTTAAGCATTCGCTTTTGTGTGTGTCTACGTCCCCACGAATGATCGGTGTAAACATTTTTATGTTCGAACCCATATTAAAAAGCGACAATCAAGATTATTATTTATTCAGTTATTTTACTTCAGGTACACCAAAAGCTGTGATGGCTCCCGTTCCAAAGAAGCCGCAGGTTCGTGAAAGTTACTCTGGAGTTAGAAATTCGGACTGAGAAGGTCCTGGGTGCTGGAGTCTGAATTTTCTAATTGAGAAGGATGTGACTTTCTTTACGAACAGAGTACATCCGGATTTCGATCCGGTATGTATTTTGTCGTTCTCGGGTTATTTTTTTCGGAGTAGCGAAAATGGTATTCGGGGTTATCGTTACAAGAAACTCCCCTTTTATTACTATGTTGGAAATTTGTTAATGAACTACAACAGCCCTAATGCTTTAACAGTTGACGGTGTTGCGCCCCAATGCAAGAATTAAAAGGCAGAAACCTTAAAAATTCTTTCGATCTGGTTTCATGTTTTCTCCGGCTGTTGGGCACATAAGCCGCTGTCGTGTTTGTGGTGGTGGGTTTCCCATGTAGATGCTTGTTTAGTGTTTGCTGCAAGTGCATTCTTAGTTGTGGGGGGGGGAGCCGATGCATAGAGTGCCGCTTGTAAACTGAATTAAATGGTTTTTCGAAATCTAAACTGGGTACGTTTGATACTAGAGGATTTGCAAAGAACCTTCTTTGCCCGTTCTGAAGTGAGAGAGTTGTTCTTGTAAAAGATAGTTCCCAGCTCTATTTGCATCAGTATGCTCTTGGCATGAACACCTATAGAAAATCGTCCTTCATTGGCTGTCTCTTTTGCTGAACTGTTAGCTTTTTGACCACTTTTGCCCGTGATTAAGAAGTACAGCGCCAAAAAACTTAAAATGGCCTGAAAGCAACATGAAGATAGCTGTAAAACTGTCCTACGATTCCGAATTAATTAGTGCATAACAACAAAATAAGATCCTGCGGTGAAAGTCTTGCAAAGGATGTCCACGAGTATCCTATTCCTCTTCTTTTACTGAATTGAGTAGAGCAGCTTTTGGCGATGAACTTCTCATTTGATGGCGCTTCAAGATTTTTTCACATTCGGTGGGTTAAGGTCCAGACTTATCCTTGCCACTTCATCACAGGAATTTTACGTTTTTCCCAGGGACTGTTCACGCAAGTAAACACACGACGTTAGAGAATCATAATCGATTCTTTTTGTCTTAGAAGTAACTTTGGGGGGAGTTTTCCGAACTGGTAGTGCAGTGGAGGGAACGCCCTTCCGTATCCAAAGGGTAGTGGTACAATCTTGTCCGCTGCTCATGAAGTGGCGTGTCAGGCGGGATGTGTTTGGCACGGCGCCAACCTGTTGTCCACCAGTTGTTGAACTGATTGAGCAACATCAGTTGGTGGGAAGATGAGCCGACGCGAACGATATGATACAGCCTTGTCGTTTGCTCGTTTTGACAAATGATGAACAATGGCTTTGGCACTGCGTCGAACTCATCCCACACGGCGCGCGCTTCATCTGCAGCGAGTGAAACTGTGGCTCTTCTTGCAATATTTCTCAAATAACAAAGACTATTCGAGAAACAACCCATATGTCTCTGACCCACCGCCTGCGTAGGGATTGTTGTATTGTAGATGTTACCTGGGGTGATGAGGATACTAGTTTCTCACCAGTGCAATCCGCCAACTTACCATGGAACTTCGAATGGAGACCTCGGTAGATCGATAGATATAAGGTTATTTACAAATATATTAGATCGCAGTTTTGCTATCTACATTTGCAAATAACCTTATAGCTTATCGATATCGATCTACCCGGGTATCCATTCAAATTCCACAGTAAGTTGGCGGACTTCCCTGGTCAGCAGTCTGGGTTGCTTTGTGAAAAAGGGTACCTCTCAGTTGACGAAATTTAAGCTACTGTCATTGAGGTGCGCAATGATGAATTTTTTCGTTTCAGGTTAAGAAAAATGCTGAAAATATTAACACCCGGTTGTCTATGGTTATGAAGACCGGAAAGTATGTCTTGGGATACAAGCAGACATTGAAGGCTCTTCGTAATGGCAAGGCTAAATTGGTTATTATCGCCAACAACACCCCACCACTTAGGTTCGCCTAATTTTTGAATTTCTTCTATTCTTTCGAAGATCAGCATTATTAGTTGTCTATTTCTTGCAGGAAATCCGAGATCGAGTACTACGCCATGTTGGCCAAGACCGGAGTCCATCATTACAACGGTAACAACATCGAGTTGGGCACCGCTTGTGGTAAGCTGTACCATGTGTGCACGCTTTCTGTAACCGACGCAGGAGACTCAGATATCATCCGCAGTATGCCTTCGGAAACGGCATAACTTTGTTGATTTGTTGATTTTGAAATAAATCTTATTTGTTTTTCATGTTCTCGAACCTCACGTTATCACTGGGGTGTACTTGAGGGATGGTTGAACAGGGTCAGCTTTTTTGGTCACTATTTACGTCCCATTATTGTGGTCCCTTTCCTTTCGCGGTTGAGCCATGGTGACATGATGTGAAGGCCTGAATGTTAACGAAGTCATCCGATGGTAGCGTCTCCAGTGCGACATGTTTTGGAGGAAGTGTTTTCCTACTCCAGCTTTGCGTCATGTAGCAGACGTTGCCCTCTAGGGTGCAGTGGCGTCGTACTTGGTTTTGGCTCGCGTCATCAGAGTGGAGCTCGTTTGTGAACACATCGTGAAGTCGTCGGCTGCCGGGACAAGTACCAAACAAGCACTTGCTCGTGTAACCGATCAACATCCCACAGGGTTGATTCAAGGCACTTCCGGCACTTCACCGTCAATCGCCATTGACTTTGGATATGTATGCTGCGCAAGGGGAGACGGTAAAGAGGATCGTAATTCGCCGCACCGCCACGCGCGGCGATGGGCGCGGCGTTTTCATAACTCGTTTTAACCTGTCGAATGGAGCACCGGACTTCATGTAGACCCCGTCATCGTAGACACTCATTACTGTTTTCGGTCCTTAATTGCATGTTGTCGCCATCTACTGCCTGAAACCATCGTCCTTTGCGGGCGGGACGTCGCACGCGACGCCCAGCAGCGCGGCAAATTACGATCCTCTTGTCACATACCCCGCAAGATGCAGTGGAATCGTCTACTTACACAGCTCGGAAGCTCGTTTTGCTTCCCTTTTATCGTCAGCTAGGCCAGGGCGGGTATTTGGCTTTCCCGGCTAGAAAACAGCCTTAAATACTTCAAGGCAGTTCCTGCAATCAACTGGTCCGTAAAACGCCTTCGTGCATTTGGCATCCAGATTCGCATTCGCAAGGAGTGTAGCACTTTCGTCACTTGAAATGTCGAGCTAAAGCTTCGAGAGACGTGTAGCCTTTTACGATTTTGATGTTTTCGGACTGCAAGGCACCGAGCTGAAAGGTGAGTTAATGTACACACTGTTGTCTGCAGCATATACTCATCGGAGAGAATATTGCGTTATCGAGTCTTGTTCACGCTCACGAACTGTTCTGCTTTCCTTGGACACATTTTTTGGGAGCAAGCAGGCGATAGCAGTCCAATTCGCAAGGCAAGCTGTGTTCTGGCTTGCTTGGAGGCAGTTGGCACGATAAATCCCTAAGACGAGTAAGATTAATACGCCTGGCAGGACGGAAGTCCGCGCCCTCGCCTGCGCTGGGGCGCGGATTTGTGTAGCGACTTTTCCAAGGGAAGTACCTTTACAAGGCCCTGTCACGCTGCAACATACGGACCGGACGCTCACCCACCCGTCCGCCCACAAATGGAAGAGCGTAACTAATGTACTATTGCTTCATTT